CAGCCGAGACGCCACGGTTGTCAGCGTGGGTCAGGTTGGCGCCCGGTGTGCCCGGCGCCGCGTGCTGCAGTGCCTTGGCGATGGCGTCGGTGCACTCGGCCTTCGGCGTGATCTTCTCCTTGTGGGCTTTGTGCAGCGGGTCGTTGCGAGACGAGAGGTGGTTGAAGAACATGCTCGTCCCGTTGCCACCAGAGCCATCCGGAAGTTTGTTGGGGATGAGGCAGCAAATCTGGGCGCAGCACTCGCACTTGGTGAGCCCACTGGAGGCGAGGTCCACGGGCGTGTAGTTGTGCGTCTTGAAGTGCGTGCAGAGCGACTTGGCTGTCTTGAAGTCTCGGGCGCAGATGGAGCAAGAGAAGGTTTGGCGAGGTGGGTTGGTGTTGGAGCTGCTGGCGGCTTGCGATCCCCCCGCCTGCTCCGCCACGTTCCCCTCCTCGCTCTCTCCTCCGACGTCCTCGTCGGACGATTCCTCGTCGCTGTCGTGGCCACTGTAAGACGGCGGGGGCTTGCCTCCATCTCGGCGCTTGAGGCGCTGGGAGATGGGCCCCTCGTCGATGTCGAAGTCGCCCTCCGAGGTGGACTCACCCGTCGTGGTGTCGACATGCTCTGGAGGCGCAGGAAGGGCGTCTAGGAAGGCCGCACCGGCGTCTGCCGGATCGGCGTCGGCGCCGTCGTCCGCCGGGGCGATGGCGGGTTCGTGGTCGTCGCCCGTGCCCTGCTCGCCGTCGTCGGACGCCTGTCCTTGCGGTGGCGGCGGTGGCGATGGCGGCGGCGAGATCGAGCCACCTGGATCCGGTCTGGACTCGGGCGGCGGCGGCGGTGGTGGCGAGTCTGCGGCGTTGAGCTCTAGTACTTCGCGCTCGGCGTCGGCGAGGCGTTGTCCGGCGGCGAGGGCTTCGTCGTCGGTCGTCGCCTCGTCGAGGGCAGACGATGCGTTGTGCTTCTTAGCAAGGGCTTCCTCCTCCGCCGCCTTGTCGAGGGCAGTCGATGCGGCGCGCTTCTTGTCACGCTTCTTGCCAGCGGTGGCGTCGGCGTGGGACAAAGGGTCCGACGTGCCGTCGTGGTGTGTCTTCAGCACCTTGGACGAGCCCTTGGGATCGCCCGCACCTCCGAAGGTCGTCCGCGCTTTGCCGCTGGGCGGGGAGGCGTCGCCCTTGGCAGCAGCGTCCGCGAGTGGTGAGCGAGGGCGGACGAGCGAGCCAGATTCTTGTGTCGGCGCCGGGCGGACGACGCCGAAGTAAGTCGGGGCGAAGAGGTTGGCCGGGAACGCGTCGCCGCCGGGGGGTGGCGGTGGGGAAGGCGGCGCTGGCGGCGGCGGCGAGGGAGGAGGAGGGGGCGGCGAGGGGGGCGGTGGTGGCGGCGGTGGCGGTGGCGACGACGGTGGCACCGGCGGCGGCGACGGCGGGGCCGATGCTGTCTGGCAGTCGAGAGGCGGTTCGAACCGGCGCTTGCGCCTCGGCGGCCGGTCGATGGGGGAGGATGTCGATGGATCGAGCTCTTCGATGCTGGCGCCGTCGCCGGGCGAGGTCGAGGGCGATGCAGCCGACGATGACGCAGTGGCGCCGTTGCCGGTTGCCGTCGAGGACGACGCAGCAGATGACGACGCAGCGGCGCCGTTGCCGTTGCCTGGCTGGGCGTAGGTGGTGACCGTGCCGGGGCTCAGGACGACAGGTTGGAGAAGGACGCCGGGATGGGCTGGCGTCGCCTCCCCTTCAAACGGGTACCAGAAGTCGAGTAGGATCTGGGTCGAGGTCGGGATTGGGTAGTGCACGTTGATGTGGGCGAGCGCCTCTTGGATGTCGCGGTACTTCTTGTGGCGCGCCCTCGAGCCCCCGACGGCGCCGTGCGCTGCGCAGAGGTCCCACGTGGAAAAGACGCCCCAACCAGACCCTGGAACGTAGAGCGCGTAGTACCAAGGCTTGGGCGCGGCGGAGACGCTGTGTAAAATGAACAGGGAAGCGAAAATGCCGTTTTTGGTGTAAGCCGCCATGAGGCCGGCGAGTAAGAGATCTCCCGGGAGCTTTGCCATCACCAGTCCCAGCGGGTCGGAGAGGTCCCAGAGGCCGCCCGCCGACGAGGTGTCGCGCGAGAAGAGACTGGTGATGGTCTCGTTTGCGGGCGTGCCGCCAACGAAGATGTCCATGTCGGAGTTGTTGGGGACGGGCGACGCCAGAACGGCGCCTCCTCGTCCTGGTGCTCGACTGCCTTCGGTACCGGTCGGCCCGGGTCCCGGCAGGAGCGAGTCGTCGGACGGGTAGAAGATGCGCTCGGAGTCAATGAACTTGTACAACTCGTGGCTCCGAGAGGGCCGCACCTCGCACAGCCCAACCAGGCCCCCGCCCAGCGGGGTAGTTTCCTGGCTACTGGTCGGGCTGTGGTCGGTGCGGTTGGCTCCGGCTCTGCCAGTCGTCGAGGGCAATGGGCAAGACGGTTGTGCCGCCCCCGCCCCCTCATCCGAGGGGACCCCACCGGCGTTGTGGACACTGTGAGGGACAGGCTGCCTTGTGGCTGCCTTTGGTCCAGCACAGAGCCATTCTGCACGGTGCCAGGTGGGTGGGACGGTCGAGGTAGTCGGCGCCGGACCTGTGCAGCGGGTAGAAAACACGCTAGACACGCTAGGCACACTAGACTCGTCACGCGACACAGACACAAAAGACAGGACACGAGACGAGGTAGCCTTGGCAGCAGCCGTGGCAGCAGCCGTGGCGGCAGCCGTGGCGGAAGCCGTGGCGGAAGCCGTGGCGACAGCCGTGGCGGAAGCCGTGGCGGAAGCCGTGGCGGGAGCCGTGGCGGGAGCCGTGGCGGAAGCCGTGGCGGGAGCCGTGGCGGAAGCCGTGGCGGAAGCCGTGGCGGAAGCCGTGGCGGAAGCCGTGGCGGAAGCCGTGGCGGAAGCCGTGGCGGAAGCCGTGGCGGAAGCCGAGGCGGCAGCCGAGGCTGGCTCGGGAGCCGCGTCGGCAGCCGTCGGGTGCTCGACGATAGCTTGGACCGGCTCGACCGCGCTGCAGATGTTTGAAGCGGGTCGAGCTGGCAGCTCTTGGAGCGTCGAGCCGAGGAGTGGGTGTCGGACAGCGCCGACGTGGGACTCCGCTGTCGCGGCGTCCACGGGGCGCAGAGCACGCGTGCTCTGCGCGAGTGCGAGCGCAGGATCGCTCAGGATCAGCAGCACGGCGGCCGCGAGCCGAAGAGGCCCGACAGCCGACATGCCAGCTGCAGTAAGGAGTTTGTTGTTGTTTGTTTGTTGTTAGGGTCATTGGCTTGCACACTTTTTGACTGTACGTACTTTTAGCTTACTGGGAGAAAAGAGACTCTAGAAAAGAGACTCTCTCTCTCTCTCTCTTGACTGTACGTGGCTCTTACCTACATTCCCGGAGGAGGACTGCAACAGGGTTTGCGATGAGGCGCGACCCGAAGGGTTTCTCGCGGAGGTATAAAGTGCACCACTGAACGCCGAAGCGCAAGCACTTGGAGCAAGAACACTACGCCCTGGGTTTTTCATGTGCAGGCGGGTTTTTTTGTTTTTTTTTTTGAGCTTAGCCTTAAAGAAAGAAAGAAAGAAAACATACAACCCAAGGGAGGGATGGAGAACGGCACGCCGCCACCACACAGCGAGCCGTCTTCTTACCAGGTTGCAACCCTAGTCTCGCACTGTGCTGTGAACAGAGCACCAACCAACAGCTCTCAGGACCCCCCGGTGCTGGGGTGCTGCCAGCAACCAACCAACTCGCCGGCGAGCGGAGCGAGCCGAAGAGCTGGGGCCAAATTGGCGCTGTGAACGTCGTTTGAACCGATTTTCGGCGGGCACGTCGCACCTACGTGGCGGGCCGCCAGGGGCCCGGCAGCAGGGCGCCCCCGCGCGGATGCCGACGAGGATCACGGTGCGCTATCTGGGCTCGGAGCTCGGCAAAAAGGTCGCGCTACCCGACACCAAGATGCAAGAAGGAGTTGCTCGAGCTGGCCTGATGAGGTGCTCCGCGTACGAGGCAAGCGTCATCCGCTCTCCGCCCCTTGCAGCTCGTAGCTCACTGGGGAGGGAGTGCGGAAGCTCCGCGCGGCTGAAGTGCCACGCCTGCCCGCCGGGACCGCGTGCAGGAAGCTGCATCGCCAGCGCCGTCGCAGCATCGAGCGGCGCGTCCTCCCCAACCAGCACCAGCGGCGTGTATAGCACCATAGGTCGTCGGCTTTGCCGACGGGCGACGTGGACGGACACAGACAGGCAGGGACGGGCGAAACACGTACCCGAACAAGCATGACCAGCGAACGGGGCATTGCACTACATAGTGCGGGACCTGGGGCAGCAACCAACAACCTGGATGGGGACGGGGTGCTGCGCAACCGACGCCAACCAGCAGCGTTCACAGCACAGTGCGAGACTAGGGTTGCAACCTGGTAAGAAGACGGCTCGCAGGGATTTTTTAAGGAGAGGAGTGTGATGCGCTAGCCGTCGCCCACCCTGGGGAGTCAGTCTGCCTCTTCGTATCTCTTTTCGCAGTCTCTCGCCGCTTCTCGCTGCAACCTTCATGCCACCTCGCGGCCGTCCCACTCTCGCCGTTCTCTCCCTTGTCACTTCCTCCTCTGTCGCGTCGTTAGCCTTCGATGTTATGAAACAACAATCGCGATTTTTTTTCAGGCGCATAACATGTTTGACGAGTATGGGATCGCCGCCACCCACATTGCAGGAGACGCAGGAGTTGCTTGTCGTCGGGAAGGACCGTGGCCCCACCCTTCTCTCAAGGCACGGGGTTCCGCTCGCCGCTGCGATCGCGTATGGTACTGCATCGGTGGTCGCGACGCTCAGCAACAAGGCGTTGCTCTCGTCATGGCAGTTTGACTGCATATTCTCTCTCCTCCTCCTGCAGAATGCGCTCACCGCGCTGCTTCTTCATCTAGCCGCACAGACGCGCTACCGCCAGCCGCTGCGGCTCAACTTTGCCCTCGACGGCGAGAGTGCGTTCCGGCTGGTTGCACCTGTCAGCGTCCTCTCGCTGCTCAACGTGCTCTGCGGCATGTGGGCGCTGAAGCTTTCGTCCGTGCCGATCTATCAGACGCTTAAGCGCATGTCGCCCCTGCCGGCCATGCTGCTGGATGCCCTGTTGCGCCGCAAGGCCTTCAGCTTGCGGATCCGCGTGTCCGTCCTCACCGTGTGTGCGGGCGCCTTTGTCGCTGGCTGCGGCGACCTCGACCGCAACGTGCTCGGCTACCTCCTCGCGGCGGCGTCGTGCGTGCTGCAGGCCCTCTACCTCGTCCTCGCAGCTCGCGCTGACGACGAGCTCGCCCTGGGTGCCCAGGGGCTGCTCTACTACTCCTCGCTCCTCGCCCTGCCGCTTCTCGTCGCGCCGGCCGTGCTCCTCGGCGAGGCCTCGAGGCTGGCTGCGTACGACCACTGGCGCGAGCCTGCCTTTGGCGCGACGCTCGCCCTCACGCTGGCCATCGGCGCGTCGCTCCAGCTGCTGCTCTTTTGGTGCACGCTTGTGACGAGCGCCGTGACCACGCTCATCGTCGGCAACCTGAAGGCTGTCACGACGACGCTGCTCGGCTTCTGGCTCTTCGGGCGCGTGCGGCTGCAGTGGTTTGGGCTCGCAGGCGTCCTCATCAACACGCTCGGCGGCATCATGTACTCTGTCTTCAAGTTCCGAGAGTCGAACAACAGCAGGGCGGGGTGAGTACCCGCCTCGTTTTAAAAATGGCATACTACGTGTTTAAGTGTTCCCTCGAGCCGCCAGCCCTTCGAGGCCTCGTGCGCGCCCTGCTCGGGCCACTCGGGGAGCAGCGAGTACCGCCCGCCCGCCTTGCCTGGAGGGCGGCCCGTCCGGGCGGCAAACTGGAATGCACAGTTGCACGCGTGGCAGGCCGTGGGGCCTCACGAGGAACTCCCTCTCCCTCCCGCCCGTGAATAGAGCGCTAACGGACAATCACAACAAACTCGCCTGGTGGACCACGCCCTCTGCGCGGTTTCAAAACCTTTGTGTTATTTTTGCATGTACATGTGTGGGTGGTGGTAAGGTAAGGTAAGGTAAGGTAAAATTCTCCCCTCTCGCCTCAGCACAGCTTCACACCTACGGCCAGGCCAATCTGCCACAACGGTGGCAGTGGTGGCGGGTGAGGCAGGAGGAAGCTCGCGGACTGGAACCTATACGGAGGGCGATACGCGAACCTACTGTTTTGCCCCGGGACAAGTGCAGCCTCGCGCGAAAGGCAGAAGTTGTTCGGGGCAACAGGCGCTCCCGGAAGGCGCTGCCCGTAGGGAGATAGGTTTTCGAACACGCGCTCCCGGGTCTCGATGAAGTCGGGAGCCCACCAAGAGAACGGCCACAAGAGGGGGAAGAGGGGAAAGCAGACTAAGGACTTTTTGAGGGAGTTGGGTCCCGTCGCCTCCATCTTGAAGAGCATGCAGGCCGGGAGGAGGGGGAAGCAGCACCACACCCAGCAGCCCTCAATGTCCTTGGTCTGGATGAGGCCTGGCGGGTCTGCGAGAGACTTGCAGAAAGAGCAGGGGGAGGAGAGAAGCCCCGCCGCCTTCTCCTTGGCCGCCCTCGCCTCCGCCGCCGCCGCCGCCTTCGCCGCCCTCGCCCTCTTCTCGGCCGCCCTCGCCTCCGCCTCCGCCTTCCGCGCCTCCTCCACGATGCGCCGCCCCTCCTCCCGCTCCATCACCATCGGCATCACCCCGTGTGCAACCGCCTGCGCGTGCTTCTCCTTGGCCGCGCGCGCGGCCGCCGCCTCGCTCTCCGCCTGCGTCGCCGCCCGTTTCACCGGGTTGCTGTCTCCGGCCTTCACGTCGTTCTTTCTCTCAAACGCATGCAGCGCTGCCTTGGCGTGCGCGGCTGCATCGGCGGTTGCCGCGACCTGCTGCTGCAGCTGCGAATCAATCGCCTCAAAAGCCGTCTGCACCGTCACGCCGAGCGACTTGATCTTGGGCAGCTGCCCCCGCTTGTCGCTCGCGTTCGTCACTTGCACATCGGGGCTCGAAAGGAAGTCGTGCGCCTCCTGCGGGGTTTTGTTTGCCCAGGTGTCGGTGAGCGCCGACGTGAACTGCTCGCGCTGCGGCGCAGCATTCTGGATGCAGACGATGTGGTGGCGCGAATTTGCGGTGCCGACGGCCGATCTGAGGCCGTCGGGCGTCGCGAATTGCATGCTCAGCCACGCCTCGAACTGCGTCCAAAAGCGGGACAGGTACGAGAGGTCGAGGAGGATAAGGATGGTCGTGCCGAGGTAGAGCATGTTGACCTGCGGGCGAACGCACGCGACGGAGAGTGGATGAGTGGGGAGGATAGTGGTGTGGTGGCTCGTGGCAGGTGGGCGTGGGCGCTGACGAAGAATGTATCGATATGGCGCATGCTGGCCTGTGCGAGCATCCGCTTAAAGTCGTCCGTGTCCTGATCGGTGCGGCTGCCCTTGGGCTGGTCCTGCGGCATGCATGCGCCGTCGATCCACATGCGTTTGATCTTCCGGCCAGAGTCCGAATTGAGGAATTTCTTGATCGCCTTGAGCTGCTCGCCGTCGGGGTCGGGCTGCGGCGGGGCGAGCGCGGGGTGAAAGGGGTGAGCAGGGCGAGCGGGGTGAGAGAAGTGAGAGGCTCGCCTCGTCGGGCTGCATCCAGCGGTGGGAAATGGCCAGCGTCTCCTCCACGTAGGTGCCCTTGATGACCTCGGCGTAGGTGAGGACACACTCAACGAGTGCTTCGGGGTTCTTCGTGCGCAGCTCCTGAAGAAAGGGCAGCTTCTTGCCTTCAAAGTTGCGCACGAAGTTGGCGTCCAGCATGATGAACCGTTCACTCTCGGTGGAGTCGGACGGCGCGACCTGGGTGATCTTGACCATGCCTGCGTTTCGCCCCGAGCCAACTCCTGTGCCGGAACGTTATACCCGGGTATTTCTCTCTCTCTAAAATGAGACAACCCAAGGAACCGTTACGGAAAAGCATGCGCGACGCTGCCTCTTTGCGCCGCTCGCTCGCGGCGGCGGGAGACATGGCCGCCGAAGCGGCTCGCACTCGCTCGGCGGGCCTCCGTCCCACAGCCGCCCGGGCGTGCCAGGGGGCAGCCTGGCGCTGCGCTGCTCGCACGCTGCACTGCACAAAGCTGTGACAACAAGGGGAGGCTCCTGAGCTTCAGCGTTGAGCAGTGCAGCTGCGGGCGCTCGTGGGCGGCTGTGCAGTGGTGAGAATGCCTGGTTGGAGGCGAGCTGGCGCTGCGCCAGGGTGCGCAGCATGCTCCCTTGCTCTGTCCTGAGGCATGCTGGTTGGCGCCCAACACAATGCCCTGGATGCATTGCTCCACGCCGTGCTGGCTGGTGCAGTACTGCCAGTGCGCCGACTGGCGCGCAGGGTGCGCGTCGCCGCGCGTGGCGCGGGAGGCGCGAGAGGCGCGGCTGTCGGTCAACCCCGCGGCGCAGGCGCGCCGCGGAAGCTGCTCGACAGGCGACTTCATTGCGAACGCCGTCGCCGTTACTCCAACTTTCCTTTGCCGATCAAAAGCGCCCGTCCTTTGCTTTTTAGCCGCCGAAATTTAGCTCGCTGTTTTTCTTTAATAGGCGTCTGCAACTTCCAAGCTGCGTATTCTTGTATTATCGTCGAGTAGTACAGGTACTCCGTGGGGGCAGTGTGTATTCTCGTAACATGCGCGTATTCTCGTATCACTGGCTCCGAGTAGAAAAAGAAACTAGAAAGAAAACATGTCGAGTCCGTGTCGAGTGTTTACTAGCTCCGAGTAGAGGGGGCGTTCTGCTGCTAGGGGAAACCTGGAGCGCGGAGCTAACCCTCGGAGACCCGTGTTTACTTTAAGGCCCTTGCCCTGCGAACGCGCACCCCCGGGGCTAGGGCTCTCTAGCCCGTAACCCGATACCGATCATCCGGCCCGCTGGATGCGCTTCTCAGCTCACCGGCCCCGGATGTGAGGTTGCCGACTGCACTCCAAGTGCTCCAAGTACTCGGGGGCACGGACGCGGCACCCAAGTGGTGGAAGTCCAGCAAATCCGCGCCATAACAACTGAGCCTGAACAGTTCTCCTAGCCGGCGCGAAACTAACTAACACAGAGGCACGCGGTGTATGTGCGTGCTGCACTCTAGACAACGATCCCGGCGCCCCGGCCTTACCCGCCTGCTCTCTCTGGCCTGCATCCACTAGGCCTAAGCTGTGCTAGTTTGCCTCAGGGCTAAACGAGATGCCGCACGCCCGCTCCGAAAACTCCCAGAGCACGGCCGCCTTTGCAGCGTCCGCCGCGAAGCCCCACGGCCGCACCTTGGCAGGTGAGGGGCGGCGGTGAGAGGGCGGTAAGGGCGGCGGCGAGGGCGGCGAGGGCGGCGGCGAGGGTGGCGTCGAGGGGGGCGGCAAAGAGAGGGGAGGGGAGGCGGAGCGGCTCTGCAGGGAGGGCGAGAGGCCTCGGCGGGAGGCGCCCACCTTTGCCGGCGGGCCGCGCAGCCCGAGGTCGTGGAAGCCGAAAGGGTTGTGGCGAGGGCCGTAGTAGTCGCCGCTTCGGGCGCCGGGGCTCGTGGCGGCGACGAGGAGGGGCGCGCTCGCATCGGGCACAGAGTGCGCGAGCCCCGAAGCGTAGTCCACCCAGCAGCGCAAGAACGGGTTGCGAGCCGCGCTGCTCTGAATCATCGGCGTGAGAGCAGAGCCGGGATGCGCCGCCACCACGATCACACCGCCGCCGCCACCACCGCCGCCGCCGCTCCCGCCGCCGCCGCCGCCGCCGCCGCCGTCGCTGCTGCCGCCCTCGCTACCGCTGCTGTCGCCGCCGCCGCCGTCGCCGCCGTCGCTCTGCGGCAGCCGGGACGCGGCGTCGAGCCGGCGGCGCAGCTCGACGGCAAAGAGCATCTGAGCGAGCTTGGAGGCGGCGTAGCGGCGCCAGGCGCCGTATGGGAGGGGAAGGAGGTAGCGGCAGGACGCGCGGTGCGGCGTCTCGTCCTCAAAGTACCCGGCGGCGTGGCCGAGCGACGAGTGCACCACGACCCTCGCACCCTGAGTGTTGCGGAGCAGCGGCCAGAGCTCGGCACAGAGGAGAAAGTGGCCGAGGTGATTGACCTGAAACTCGAGCGGCCAGCCGTCCTCGGTGAGCTCGGCCGAGGCACCGCCGCCGAGGATGCCCGCGTTGCACACGAGCAGGTCGAGAGACGACTCCTGTCGGCGGAGCCTCGAAGCAAACCGGCGCACCGAGGCGAGCGAGGCGAGGTCGAGCTCCTCACAAGCGAGGCTGGCGGCGGCGCCCTTCGACTTGAGGTCCGCCGCGATCCGGTCCCGTGCGCTTGTTGCACGCTCCGCGTTGCGGCACGCTAATATGACTCTGGCGCCCTTCAGCGCTAGCGAGCGAGCCAGCCAGAAGCCGAGCCCAGAGTTTGCTCCCGTGACGACTGCAAGGCGACCAGTTTGGTCGGGCGCCTCGTCGAGAGCCTCTTTGTAAACGGCGGCGTCGATGAGCGGGTCCGGCGTCGACGACTTGCTCCTGGAGGAGGACCAAGAGTGCATCGGGCCTGTACCCTTGACGCTCGTTTTTTCTTTTTTTCTACCTCCCCCTTGACCACAAAACTCCCAAAGATCCGAAAGTGTAGCATCTACGATCTAGCAAGAACTACTGGTCCGTTCACACATCAAGCACGCTCGCGACGGATCGCGTTACGTCGCGCGTTTTTTTTCTGGGTGAGAACGGAGTTCTCTGGGTAAGCTCAGCTGTCTGTGAACTTCCCAGTTGTTTGCTCTTGTACTTACTTGTTCCGCGTTCTTAGCTCCCCGGCCCTGGATGTGAGGTTGCCAACTGCACTCCAAGTGCTCCAAGTGCGTTCCGGAGGCAACCCAATTTCTTCTCTTTCTCTTCTCGCATCACAGCTCGCCCTTGTCCTGCTCGTGCCGGCTGCCCGCGGCCCACGCCTCGGCTAGCCCGGGCGTCGCCTCGCCCAACCGCGCCCAAAAGGCCTCGACTGTCTCCTCCGCCCACCCGGCAGGGTCGCCGCGCGGGAACGGCGCCCGTACCTCGTGCGCCGCCTCCTCGAGCGAGCGCGCCCGCCGGCCCGCCGTCGCGTAGAAGGCGCCGCGCGCGCCCGACAGCGCGGCGAGGGCGATGGGGAGGGCGCCGTCGGCCGCGTGGTGGGCGGCGGCGTCGTGCTGCGCGCCTACCGACATGTCGGTACAAGGTGTACACCTGCACCTTCCGAGTTCCGTAGCGTGGAAGGGGAGTGACAGCTTGGGATGGCAACAGAACGAGTATCTCGCACTCCATGACCATGTGCAAGAACGCAGAGAGAAATGAAAGCCGTCCGGCTCACAAGTCCGGCTCACGCGCCCCGAGCTTACCATCTACTCGAGTACCGCACTGAACACTTTCGCCCCCTCGCTCCCAACCTGCTCCCAACCCATCCACCTCGGTCCTCGCCTCGGGCCGCGCCGCGCGATCTCGGTCGATCTCGCGCAATCTCGGGCGATCTCGGGGCCGCGCCGCGCTATCTCGGGCGATCTCGGAGCGTCGCTCGCGCGGCGGCACACCTGCTCAAAAAAGGAAGGGCCCGGTTCGTTGGAGCCACGGGGCTCACGCACTCGCTCAGGGCGCCGCCTCACTCTGCGCCACTTTTGAGGCGTTGGCGAAGGCCGGTGAGGCGGCGCCCCGCGCGCGGCGCGTTCATCGCCCTCCACGCCGACCCCTGCGCGCAACGCTCATCTTGGCCCTCCTGGGGTTACTCTCGCGCTCGCGCAGGACCCGGGGGACTCCCTTCCCCCCACCTCCGACGGGTTAGGTCGGTTCTGCGCCCCTTGGCGCCTGTGCATGTCCCGCGTGCCCGCCCGCCAAGGCTGGTGCCAAGGCCAATTCAACTGCCAAGGCTGGTGCCAGGGCCAACTCAACTGCCTGGCTGGTGCCAAGGCTCAAAGGCTCTCCTCTCTCTCTCTCACTCTCTCCTCCCTCTCCACTCTCTCCACTTTCTCCCTCTCTCTCCCCTGAGACTCTCTCTGCTCGCTCTGCCCTCTCTCTCCCTCCCTCCCTCCCTCCCTCTCGCCCCCCACCCCGCCCCCCCTCTTCTCTCCTCTCCCCCCCCTCCTCTCTCCTCTCTCCTCCTCTCTCCTCTCCTCTCCTCTCCTCTTCTCATCTCCTCCCCTCCCCTCTCCTCCTCACCCCTCATTTTTTCTTTTGAGCTTAGCCTTCGATGTTATGAAACAAACGCAAGGCGGACATGGCATATCGCTCTCGGGCCCACAGACATCCCGCACACCCGCCGCCCCCCGCGCGCGCCCCACCCCGGCCGGGAGAAAGGGGAGTGGCAGCTTTTTCTTTTCACCTAGACCTACAAATTCCCTGCTCCTTCCACAGAAAGCCCCCAAAGAAGAAAACAGAGAGCCCCAGGGAGGGAGGGAAAAAGAAAGAAAGAAAACAGACAACCCAAACGAGAGATAGGGGAGGAGGACAGGGTCCACACCTGCACGAGCAAGATTTTGGAAGGACGATCCAGGGGGACAGGTGGGCTCTCCTGCTCCTGACAAGGGACACGACAGGCTCGCAGCGCGGTGCACGGTGGAATCCCAACTCCACTGGCGGTCTCATCTCAGTCTAGCGACCTTCCTCCGGCTTCTCACCGGCAGTCTCTCACTACCACGGTTTGTTTGCTGGCGATACCTGACCATTTTCTTTTTTCCTGGTTGACCGTCGAGCGTCGTAGTGTGATTTCTTTCTTTAGTCCATGAGAGTTCACAGCGGGGCGGCTCGAGCTGTAGTCGCAAACGGGCGGAGCGTTTTTGATCTCTTGGGTCAGTGGGCGCCCGCCCGCCGCCTCTGAGGGGGTCCGGTCTCGTCCGTGCCTCGCCGGCCGGCGAGATTGCTAGAGGTGGAGCAAGCCTGCTCTAGCCTCGCATGTTACTTCCTGTCGTCTGTTGTGATGTTGTGCCCTTGGTTGTGTCCTTGGCACCGTGGGTGCTGGGGGGGGGCGATCGAGGGGGGCGACAGGGATGACGTGGCCCTGAGTTATGTGTACGCCAACTCAGTCAGGGTGTGTGGCAGAGCCAGCTGGCTGTGTGTCTTGTGAGCCTGTTTGTGTCTGTGTGTCGCTCGTGCGTGTCGTCATCATCTGTCCAGCGTCCACCCATACCGCGTTGGTGTCCAGTCCGAGCCTGGCTGTTCTTCACCTTCCTAACACACACACATAAATCTCAAAGCGTCAAAGGGAGAGAGAAAAAGTGTACGTGCGTACTTTTAGCTTACTGGGAGAAAATTGTATGTAGCTCTTACGTACCTTCCCGGAGGAGGAGGACTGCTTTTTTAACCAAAGGGAAACTGAATCCTTCTGCGGCAGTCGAAAGGGATCTACGCACTCACAAGAGAGAAAGAAACAACCGGTAGCGAATGGTGTGTGTGTGTGTGTGTGTGTGTGTGTGTGTGTGTGTGTGTGTGTGTGTGTGTGTGTGTGTGTGTGTGTGTGTGTGTGTGTGTGTGTGTGTGTGTGTGTGTGTTATGTTGGTATAGGTAGAAAAAAATAACGCTCTTAGCTGCCTCGTGGAGCAGAGCGCCATGGTGAGCCCGCCCCAGCGGGCGGCAGTCGGGGAGGGCGGGACGGGCGGGGTGGAGCGGGGGGGTGGCGGTGGAGGCCTCGTCCGGCCGCGCCACGCTCTCGGGTCTGACGGCGCCCTGCCGTCGGACGCAGGTTCGCATGAGCGTGCTGAACGACTGCCTCCGCAGCATCTTCAATGCGGAGAAGCGCGGCAAGCGCCAGGTGCTCGTCCGTCCCGTGTCCAAGGTGATCGTCAAGTTCCTGCAGCAGATGATGAAGCACGGTGCGCTGCGCCCCGCTTGGGAGGGGGGGGGAGCAGAGGCGACGTGCTGGGCGGGCGTGGCGGCGTGCCGGCCGGCTAGCCCGTGCCGCCGTGCGTCGATAGTCCACAGCGGCTGCGAAAGGGGGTCCAGCATCGCGCCACGAGCGGCACCTTTCCCTCATGCGGCGAACGGGCGCCTCGCGGCGGATCAACGGCTCTGATTTTGTGTTTGGGCGCCGACCCCGGGCGTGAGAGGCGCCCCCTTGCCCCCCTCTCAGGCTACATCGGCGAGTTTGAGATTGTGGACGACCACCGGTCGGGCAAGATCGTGGTCGAGCTGATCGGGCGCATCAACAAGTGCGGCGTCATCTCGCCGCGCTTCGACGTCTGCCACAACGAGATTGAGCAGTGGGTTGTCAACCTGCTGCCTGCGCGCCAGTTCGGTCACATCATCCTGTCGACGTCGCTCGGTGCACCTCCCCCCGGTCCCCCCCCCCACCCCTACCTCCCTCGGGCTCCCCATCCCAGCCCCTGCCGCCCTCACCGCCCTATCAGTGCCCCTCCCCACAGGCCTCTTCCCTCCCCCAGCACCACCACCACCACCACCACC